TATATATATATATATATATATATATATATATATTGAAAGTTCATTTAATTCTATGATATAGACAACTGAATAAAAGAAATTTCATAAGACATTTAAGCCAAAACATCGTATTATTTAGCTTCTCGTGTTTGCATAGTGAAATTAATAGAAATGTTTATTCCTAGTTAATTTGATAAATGTATTATTTGTTTAAAAACTCATGTATGAAAATCTACTTTAAAACAACTCTATTATTAGCTGTATGAAGCTTCTTTTAATCTTATGTACATGTATAAACACAAGATTATCCAGATGCAATACACTTTACATGTGATTAGTCTACTTTCATTTTGACAACCATTATTTTAAAACTAAAAAGTAACAATTTAATCAAACCATGTGAAGCTGCAAGGTTTAGATATCACAATATGTTTCACTGTTTAAAAAAAATTTACATTAAGATATTGCATAAATTGAATTCAAAGTGTAATATATGTTCTCTATTCATACAAACTACAAAGGTTTAATTAAGAAACCAAGTACTTAACTCTATCTAGAATTATGTGTAAGTTATCCTAATCTTCTGTGATTATGTAATAACTTCAACCAGAAGATCTGCTAAATTTTACAATTAATAATAGTCTTCATTACAATTAACAGAAAAACTAGAAGTAAATTATCTTAAAAGTCAATCTATAAAAATGCTTAAAGGCTTACCAGCAAATGTTGCAGCGCTCTGCTGAAGACTCTGTAGTACTCCCTTGGGACAGTCATACTTTTGAGAAACCTGTGACAATGGAACTTCTTGGACAAGCTCGTTTAAAGCTAAAGCTGCATAAAATCTCTTGTGGATTTGCAAACTCTTAGCTTGTCTTGGGACACTGCTCTTAACCTGACCTCTGACAGCTCTGGCCAGAAACCGTTCTTCAACTCCTACAAGTTCTCCAACGCGATGCATATCTTCTGGAAGATTCTCCCACATTGACAAAAAGTGAATCCAATCAATACTGCCCATTTGGTCTGCTAAGTAAGGTGGTGTTACCTGCAAACAAATTGTTCATAAAAGCACAGCTTTGGGGCAACTAGTAGACTAAAAGGCCTTACAACAGTATTTCATATGAACATGTTCATTACTGCTCAATGTAAGAAACCAGTTTCAATTTCTAAAACACATGTGTACACTTTAATGTAATTAGAAGTCGCTGTAAAATCCAATTCATAAATAAAAAATAATAATCAATAAGCATACAATCCAAGGCTAATCACACAATTAGTTAATTGGAAAATATATAAGTATTATACTTGATAAACTTGTAATTATACAACTTCAGCAAGGAAATTCAAAATACAGCTTGTAAGTATTTTTATGTGAAAATTACTGATCTTATAAACTTACAAACTGAGTAGAAGCATTTCACATAAAATTTTTTTACACATGGTTAACTAGCTCGCATTTCATTATCAAATAATTCATATTTACATTGAATTGAACAGAAGAAAATAAGAACTTAAGCTGACTACAAAATATAACTGATGGTATAGTATTAAACTACATGTTTCTACCACACAAGAAAGTGTTCAAGTTTTGTCACCACTCATAAAAATTATTTCATTCAGCTAGACATTGAAGTGCCAATAATGGAAACTGTAATGTACAAATACAAAGAAAAATCACGTATTAAGTTGACAGATAAATAAACTGTGGAATAAATTACATTATAGATATAAATCACGAGAACTTCTCAACTTCCACTCAATTAATGTATATATTCATCCAACTTAATACCATAAATTCTAACTGAACCATTATGAAACATTTAACCTTTTCGAGCTGTGAAAACTCTAATATCATCTCTGTGAAAGCAGTAAAATTTGGCCACAGAAAGAATAAAATGAAATGTTATGGAACCAAGTATCTGCAGAACAGGTAGTCAATAATTACGAAATGTACGAAAATAATTAGATGTTTATATATATATATATATATATATATAGAGAGAGAGAGATTATGTTTATTTGCTCCTGATACAAACCTGATATACCAAATGTAGTTCATTTTCTAACACAAAGCAACGTCGTGCCTTTTCTAGTTCCTTCAAAACATTCAGACCCTCATCCGGTGATAGAGCTGAACAGAGTACAGCTTTCCCTAGTTGGCTTGGTACGTAAGACGTCTTATTATGGCCTTTAGCAGTTGATAAAAACAAAGTTTAAAATGGTACCAAAAAACCATAAACTTTTCAATAATTTTATATTTCCAAACCTTAAAAAACATTTAAAAATGTAAATTATACAGTTCACATCATTTCAATTCAAATATACAGTCGACGTACCACAAAACTTAAAGATTTATAAAGCATTTCTATCCTATCTAAATTTATCATTGCCCTGTGCTTTGTGGTGTCCTCACCTCTGCCATTTATTTATTTTAACTTACTTAAATTATTTGATATGTTTTTAATATATTCAGTTACAACTTGCATGTTTCATACATATTTATTTGGTAGTTGCTATGATTACCTTATCAATTCCAAACCTGACATCTCTATAAGTGTTTATAATGTACACATTTTTCTGTACATTTCAAACAAAACAATTAATGTTTATGTTTTATGTGTCTTATAAAAGTTTATGAAGGTTGGGAGAAAGTTAGACCAGTTCTCCACTATAGTGATTTGACTAAAGTATCATTCAAGATGTTTTAGATACAAAACTTTCACTAATTTCAGGCACAGCACATTAATTAGCACCATCTTACTACAATACCCTCCACATCTGTGTACATTCATACATGGATCAGCACAATGCAAGTAGCTAAAGCTATTTAACCACATGTGATACCTGTATGAGTCAGGTAAAGGTAAGCTTAAAGACATTCCCATAAACACCACCGGGATGAATAAAACTTAGAACATCACTTAAAATGTATTTTCACCTCACTTTAAAATTAAGTGTACAATCAATTTTAAAATATACTGTAAATAAAAGAAATAAACATAATTTATATATTCTTTGATAGATTGTTTAAGCAGAGTATTCATGATGAAACATTGTAGAATGGATGGCAACTGCCTGTTGTAGAGACACAAGTGTACAGGATGATGTTTTGAAAGTCTTTTTGTTCTAGACTACATGCTGCACATTGTGAACAAAAAAGTTCAGCCAAAGAGGTGTAAGAGTGGAAGACACCATGATCCAATATCTAGAATATGCAGATAATGCAGTATTGCTTACAGACGCTATCAAAACATCAGTCACTCTTCTTGATTCAGTCTTGAAGTTGAAATATTCATCTTAAAATCAAGTGAGACAGAATGAATGAATATTACAATGAACAGAACAGATGTGGACAACCTGATGATGACAAAACCTTGTCGAAACGTTGTACATTTGCTGTTATGTTAAACTTATATTAAAGTTTTTCTTC